TTGATCCACCGAATATTAACAATGTGATGTCAAAGTCTCCCACTATTATTGTGTGGGAGTCCAAGTCTCTTTATAAGTCATTAAGAATTTGTCTTATGTATCTGGGTGCTCCTGTATCGGGTGCATATATATTTATGATCATTGACTTCTGTTGTTGCATTGATCCTTTTACCATTATGTAATGTCCTTCTTTGTTTGTTTTAGTCTTTGTTACTATTAAAATCTATTTTGTCAGAGACGAAAGTTACAACTCCTGTTCTCTTTTTTTTTTGCTCTCCATTTGATTGGTAAGTCTTCCACCAACCCTTTGTTTTGAGTCTTTGTGTGTCCTTGCTTATGAGATGGATCTGGATACAGCAAACCGATGGGTTTTGACTTTTTATTCGATTTGCCTGTCTGTGTCTTTGATTGGGGCATTTAATCCATTTAAATTTAGGATTAATATTGATATTTGTGAGTTTAATATTGTCATTTAATGCTAGCTGGCTATTTTGCCCATTAGTTGACATAGATTCTTTATTATGGAGATACTCTTTGCCGTTTGGTAAGTTTTTGGGATGACTGATACTGGTTATTCCTTTCTGTGTATAGTGCTTCTTTCAGAAGCTCTTGTAAAGCAGGCCTGGTGGTGATGAAATCTGAGTGCTTGCTTGTTCGTAAAAAATTGTATTTTCCCTTCATTTATGAAGCTTAATTTGACTGGATATGAGATTCTGGGTTGAAAATTCTTTTCTTTGAGGATATTGAATATTTGACCCCCACTCTCTTCTAGTTTGTAGGGTTTCTGCTGAGAGATCTGCTGTGAATCTGATAGGCTTCCCTTTATGGGTAATCTGACCTTTCTCTCTAGCTGCCCTTAGAATTTTCTCCTTTATTTCAACTCTGGTGAATCTAATGATTATGTGTCTTGGGGTTGCTCTACTTGAGGAATATCTTTGTGGTGTTCTCTGTATTACCTGAAGTTGAGTATTTTTCTGCCTTACTAGGTTAGGAAAGTTTTCCTGAATAATATCCTGAAGAATATTTTCCACCTTGGATTCATTCTCTTCATGACATTCAGGTACACCTATCAAACGTAAATTAGGTCTTTTCACATAGGCCCATATTTCTTGGAGACTTTGCTCATTCCTTTTTACTCTTTCG